GGTTCTGGTCTCACATTTGCTGGTTGCTTCTCCGAGCCTCGATTTCTTTGTCTGTAAAATGGGCACAGTTTGTGGCAAAGATATCATGAGCTAGTGCATGCAGAGGGTTTAATACAGTGCCTGACAAGAGTAAAAATCAGTGAGTAACTCTCCTGTCCTTCCATCATCATCATCGTCGTCACTCCTAAACCAGTAGAAGAGGCGGGTGGCCAGTGGCCTTAACATTTACAAAATTCCCACTATACGGAAAGTTCTTTCCCCTGGGAAGATGGGGGTCCGTGTCCTTCTCCCCACCCCCAAGCCTAACGGGTTCCCTGTTCTCCTGAGACCCTCCAGTGGGGGCGGGGAGGTGCCTGCCTAACAGGAGGTGCACACTGGTGACAAGCCCACTTTCTCCTCACCTCCCCTGCCTCTTCCTGCCTGTCCTCCCGTGATCATCTCAGTGGGATGAGCTGAATCTGTCCTGCCTGCTCAAGGTTGGGTGGTTTGGGTGCCTTTCCCCAGACAGCCTTGTTTTTTGCATTTTTCCTAGCTGAACCTCACTTTTCTATGGGCAGCCTATTTTTTGGATGTCTTAGAAAAAATAGACATGTCAGCTATTTCTCACGTTTAGGTTCCTCTGCCCCTTCATTGAAATGCTGTGTGTTCCACTGCTAAGTTCATTTCTGGGGTGGGGGCGAGGCACTAAGTAACCACGGGCCTCATTCCAAGTCCCAAATCATTTCCTAGGAGCTGCTATTTCATGTGTTTTTTTTAGCTTGAAGCCTTAGGCCGGGGGAGGTGGGCGGGGGAGGGGCAGCTGCTGCCATGGGGCGGGGAGTGGGGCCAGAGAAAAGTCAGGTTCTTTCCTGCTCTGACCCCCCACGGCTCCATCACCACTGCCCACAGCGAGCAGGTACTCGGCACCTTCCAAAGTCAGGCACTTGTCAAGGGCTGGGAATGCTGTGCCGTGAGTTCTAGGGAGAACAGGTGCCTAGAAAGAAAGACCACATATGATGGATGCCCGATTCAAGGGTGGTTCTTCTCTCTCTCTCTCTTTTTTTCCTCCCCGCCTCTTTTAGGTCTCAGCAGCCTTAAGCTCCACAGATGTCCAGATGGCACATCTTTAGGTGAAGTGACCAGCCGACAAGGCGGGCTTCACAATTTATAGGTCCCAGTGCAAAATAAAAATTTGGCCATGACCAGGGTGGGGAATTTGGCCATGACCAGGGTGGGGAAATCAGTCTCGCCTTCCTGTGGGCCTGCAGCTGCAACCCATGGTGGACAGGCGACCCCCCAAGAGATTGTAACTTTTGCACCCTCAGTACACAGATCAGGGGTGGCCAAGAGCCCCCCCGCCCCTGAGCCACCAGCACCTGAGCCACCCCTCTGCCAGCCCCGGGCGGGGAGGGCTGCCACCAGGTCCCTCCCTGGGATGCTGCAGGGCATGCACCCAACCTTACCCTCCCTGCACCTGTGCCTGGGCCCCCACCGACAGGACCCTTTTCACCATCTGGGGAATAGGAGGATAGTTGGAGGTGGGCAGGATGAGGGAGACCCTGCAGCGGGGCCAGCCACCAGGGGGTGGGGAGCAAGTGTGGAATACCCCTCCTGGGGAGGTGGTAGGAGGCAGGACCACAAGGGAGCTGAGGCCCCAAGCACTTGGTACGTCCTCCATGGCCCTATCCAATTTCACTTACAAAACACAAGTTCAAAGATAAAAATAATAAGAATTGAAACAGTAACCGCAGAGCATTAAGCCCAAGTGGGAAGCCCTTCGGACCATGAAGCCTGCAGTCACATAGGACCCTAACCCCCACAGGGTCCTGCCTGACTGCAGATTCCCAGGAGAGAAGACCATTGGCTCAGTTTGGGGCCTGGGTCAGGGGTGGGGTTGGAACCAGGCCAGTCGGCTAAGCCGATGGTGCAGGCTGGGGTCAAGGGGTTTGAGCTTGCACAGTGGGGCAGAGGTCCAATAAGTGGATGATAGGTGCTTCTCCGGGGGCGGGGGCTGTGGGCTAGGCTGGCCCCAAAGGTCCTTCTTCTGTGCACACGTGCCAAATAAAATCTGGAGACTCATTTCCTGGAAAAGGAGTCCACCCAAATACCATCAAAACTGAGTGTGACCAGTGGATTTTGACCACAGGGCTGGGGAGATGGCAGCATGGCTAGATGCTCCCTCCAATCCCTTCCCTGAGCCTGTTTTTGTCGCTCTTATTTGGTCTAAGTTAAGGATTGCCATGCTGTGTATCATGAGAATTTTAAAAAGAGTATTTTCTTTCTAATCCACAAGTAATTTATTTTTCTTGAAAAAGAAAAAAATGTTTTGTTTTTTCCAAATGTCTCCTTGAAGGGGGAAGATCTAGGAGAGAGAAGGAAGGAGAATCCGGGCCATCTCTTAAAGTTTATCCTTTAAGATCCAGACAAAGTGATTTTTACCGAGTGAAGAAATGTCAACAAATTTAGGGACGCTGTTTTTCCCCTTCTCCTCTCTTATACACATTCTGTCTCTTATCTTGATTTCTTAAAAGTTCAAAATGGTCTTTAGCACCAAAAGAGGCAACATACACACTGAGCAAATGTTTATTAGCATCTGCCGTGTTTGGGGCACTGTTCTTAGAGCCGCGGGCACTAAACTAAGAAATGGTCCTTAACCCCTAAGGACCTAAGACATAGGATATAGGGTTTGAACTCATTTCTTTGGTTAACTGAGGATCTGACCTGGACCCTAGCACATGCAAACCCAGTGCATTTTCTGTCTCCATCTCCCAGTACTTCTGGTTCTCCCCCAGCCCCGCCATTGAAAGTATAGATAACCGCAGTGATCGAACACACTCAGGAAAGTTGCATTAAGAGGGAGCCTTGATCACATTTGCAGGCGCATCGCAGAGACATGAGCTTTTGGAGAGTCGTGAAGCCATTTTGGAAGAAGCCTGGGACACCCCTGCTGGTATTAGAGGTGGTGACGGAGAGTCATGGCATCAGGATCCCTCCCACAGAGCACCCAGGGATGTTCTGAGAACCTCACCCGGGTTGGGGCGGAGGGCAGGGACCCACGCAGGGACCTAAGGCCCCAGTTGCTCAGAAACATGCCGATAGAGTGATTGCCACCTGGGAGCACCTCTGTAATCTTTCCTGTCGGGCTCAGCTGCTGCAAAGCCTTGCTTCTGAGAGTCTAAATTGGGTGCCATGCTCGTTTCTTGCTTTCTGACCCAGAAGCTGCTGGGATTCGTTTGCTAGGCTGGAAGGGAGAGGATGCAGTTGGGGTTTTACCTTAATTACCTGTTTGTTCCGGTTCTTTGTAAAGGAATTGATTTTTTTCTTCCTTTAACAGAGTTGGTGTTCTCCCATAAGACGTCACTCTAACTTGGATTTGGGGTTCCATCTTGAAACTAAACAGTGGCCGACTACTTTTCGAAGTTAGGTCATATCTTGTGAGGGTTGTTTTTTAAAGGTTTTATTTATTTATTTGCGAGAGAGAAAGCATGAGCAGGAGGAAAGGGTAGAGGGGAGAAGCAGACTCCCCGCTGAGCAGGGAGCCCGATGCGGGGCTCGATCCCAGGACACTGAGATCATGACCTGAGCCGAAGGCAGACGCTTAACGACTGAGCCACCCAGGCGCCCATATCTTGTGAGTTTTAATAGGTTCTGTGAAATTTGGTTCATCTGTATGAGTCACAGGAACGTGGTAGTTCCTTTGTTAAAATATTTTAATATATTTGATGTAGGCTCATTTGTTACAAACTCTCCCTACCTCCCACTCCTTTTGTGAATAGACGAGAGAGCAGCTATGATCATCACTGCCCATCGCCGCTGAGTACGGACATAAAATACCGTGTGTGTGTGTTTACGATGACTAATTCTTACACGAACTTTATGATATTGCTGGTATGGTCCATTTTACAGATGAGGAACTCAGGAATCAGGGAAAGTAAGGCCAAGATCACACAGCTAGAATGTGGCCGAGCTGGGACTTGAACCCGTCTGATATCCAAGTTTTTTCCACTCTGCTGTGCATGCTCTTATCATCGTTGCAACAGGGTTGTAGGGTTTTGTAAAGGAGAATACTAAGAAATGCATTAGGTTTTTTGTGTAGGATACATATCCCCATGGGCCCCCTACCCCATAAGTATAGGCCTTTGATAATCTGATATTGTGAGGTGAGGTGGAGGGGCACCAGCACATCCTTGCTCTTGGAGTTTCTGTGACCTGTGGAGAGGCTGTTCGACTTCTTACGGGACCCGCTGTAGCCCTTCAAGGGAAGGAAGGGGTCTGGGTGGGAAGACTTGCTGGAAGGCAGCAAAGCGGAGAGGAGAGAACATGGCTTCTGGCTGCAGGAAGACCTGCTCTGTCTCCTGTAGGCAGTGTCTTCCCTGACCATCAGTCAAGTAAGGGTAGTGGCACCAACTGGACGCGACCAACGGGAGGGTTGGAATTAGGTGAAATGAAGGATATAAAGCCTCCGACACACACAGAACACTCAACAGGTGTTAGGTGCAATTGCAAAAGGACTTAACCTTTTTCTCTCTTTCCACAACTTTCCACACACACGCTCACTGGTGGACACATACCCATGGCTGCTTAAAGTTTTGCACATAGTCTCTTGCATGTTAGCATGAGAAACCCTAAATTTATCTTTTTTAAAAAAATATCATTTCTGCCTAATTTCCCATTACCTCAGTGCTCCCTCTTTGGAGTTTAGATTAAGGGCTTGAAGGACATTGGGTGTCAACCCTAGGCTTGCCACAGGAGCCAGCCAAGAGTGAGGCATGCCTCCTTCCTGCTTGAAGGGATGGGATGGCAGTTGGGTTTGGCTCTTGTCTCCCTCTTTTGCTGTGGGATGTCTCGCTGACTTCTCCTGAAGCCTGATCCTCCAAGAGGAAAAATGTCTCCTCAGACTTGGAGGCATGACTAGCCTATAAGTGCCTAGAACCCCACGCCCTCAGCCATGGGAAGTGGAAGAAGGTTTTGTCACTCTCCGAAGTAGCCCAACACTTGTGTTCTTTGTTCTCTCTTGACAGAACCAGCTTCTTGCAAAAGGCCTGTTGTTTGTGGAGGAGAAGATTAAGCTGTGTGAAGGCAAGTACAAGGCAGCGCTCGTACAGCGGGCTCTGTGACTCAGCCTCTGATGTTTGGACAGCTGAAACGCTTCTGTCCAAAAGTGGCGGGCTCCAAGTGAGTGATTCACCCCTCCCGTTTCTCCTCCAGCTAGGCGGCAGCACTTCCCTTGGAGTCGGCCACTCGTGGCGGTGCGTGTCAGATCTGTATTTTGAGAAGTCAGGTAGAATTGGGGTGGTCTTCTTAGAGACCTTGTTGAAGGTTCTCGCAGGATGCATGCTGGTGGTCTCCTGTGAAGGGATCAATTATACTACAGATCCTGTCATGCCGTTCTCTCTGGTCTGATCCAGGCTATTCTTAATTGGCCTTTTTCATATTTCTTTTTTTTTTATTTTTTAATTGTTATGTTAATCACCATACATTACATCATTAGTTTTTGATGCAGTGTTCCATGATTCATTGTTTGTGCATAACACCCAGTGCTCCACGCAGAATGTGCCCTCTTTAAGGCCTTTTTCATATTTCTTGAGGTCCTATATGACAGGAGGCCTCTACCCATTTGGGGGACATTATACTAAGCAGGCACCTGCTGAATGAGATATGATTTGATAGGCAAAGGAAGGTTTCCTGACCTTAAAATGTTTTAGAGCCCACGGGACAGGATGGAAAGGCACTGAATGGAGATGGGAGGTGGGACCAAGGCAAGAATTGGCCAACCCCATGACTCTACCAAGGGCTACTCTCAGCTGCCACCAAGGTAGATCCTGATCTTAGCTTACCACCTATTGCTTGGGTGACTTTTGGCAAGTTTCTAGTTTCTTTTTTTTTTTTTTTATCATTTTTAAAATGATACGAGTTTAAAAGGGAGTGTAGGGAGCGTAATCGGCATAGCACCATTATCTGCCACGCAGTAGTTCCACAGACCGATTCCTTCTTTTTTTTTTTTCCTACTCTAGCCTAGAAACTTCTACCTGGAGGTCAAATTTACTACTACAGTTTACTACTAGACACAGACATAGCAGGCAGGAGAGCATGCCTTCCAACCGCCCCCCCCCCCCCCTGGGAGAGACACTCTTGGCCAGTGTAGTATAAAGACGAAATAGGAGACAAATGAGAACTGGTGCTGGAACGGTCCAGTACCTGGCACACAGTAAGAGCTTGGCAGACCTTTGGAGGAACAGAGGCTAGAAACTAACTTCTGTATATCTGAGAGCTGACTGAGCCTGTAACCTTGTTTTCCCTCAATACAACTGTATTCAGGCTTTTTCAACCTTATAAATGCCCCCTAGCCTAAGGCCTTATTTATTTTTATTTTTTTGAGAGCGAGCGCGCATGCGTGCATGCAAGCAGGAAGGAGGGGCAGAGGGAGAGGGAGAGAGAATCCTAAGCAGGCTCCACGCCCAGTGCCAAGCCTGATGAGGGGCTCAATCTCACAACCCTGAGATCCTGACCTGAGCTGAAATCAAGAGTCAGACGCTCAACCCATGGAGCCCCCCAGGTGCCCCCCAGGGCCTTATTTTTGAGTGAACTGGCTTTGGCAAGAAGTTTGTGCCGCTTCTGCATGTTGGGGTCAGGGTAGAACCCAAGTGTGGAAGGTGACAGCCTCCGAAAGGGAAGGAAGAGAAGCACGGTCTGTGACCATGGTATTTGCCTGCAAGTCATCTGGGGAGTTATCACAAGCTCCTGGAAACATGGAAAACCAGCTTCATGAAAAAGATGCCGAGCAAAACCAGAGATTTAAGTGCTTTCAAGGGAAGGTTCAGTGCTTCTCATTCAAGTGACCCTCGACATAAATATATCTGGAGTGAAAGCTCAGGAATGGAGCTCCGGTAACCCAGGCAAATGAAGGTCCTCCGAGGTTCTGTGCTCAGCCCCCGACGTGCGCTACGGGGCACCGGACCGGGTGTTCTCCCTGGGGTCCACTCTCGTCCTGGTGTCTGAGCGGCCCTTCTGCTCAGCAAAGGGGCCCGTGGAAAACCTGTAAGGGCCTTTCCTGTCTTCCAAACATCCCCACTTTTTATGTTACGTACTACAGCTCCAAGAAAGATTTTATTTGGCTAAAAGGATCACCTTGCTCTAAAACATAGTTCGGGAACCACGGACAGAATCCATCCTTTCACCGGAAGGACCTCAGTGTTTATGCACGGGCACCCCGCCTCCCGGCCGCAGACCCAGCCCCCGCAGCTCTTACCCAGGTGCTGCTCTTCTGCGGGCAGGATCTGTCATGATAATTCCAGTAATGTTTCCCAGAGCTTTAGCGACCTTGACCCTGAGGAGCTTCTTATTCCCCTTCTATAGACATGCAGCGATCTAAACTCCTGTGGGACATTAAGAGGACAATTTCTGTAGGGTGTTCATCTAGACCCTTCCATCCAGCCGCCCTTCATCTTGGCAGGGAGCGAAGTCCTCTGGGCTGTTTTCTGAAGGTGAAGTCCCGTCCCTGTAACTCTCTCTTCCCTGGGGCTCCCCTGTTTTGTTAGCCTGTGTCTGTCTGATGTTCTCCTCTGAAGGCTTTCCAAAACGTCCATTACTCTGTGAAGTGTGAAGCCAGCAATTAGATGCAGGTTCCCAGGAGAGTTCCCTTCCTGCTGCCGGGTCGAAGGATTACCTCCTGTGCTGACGAGCGTTCCGTTGGCGGTGGAGGGGAATAAGTAGGCACCCGCACTGACCTGCACGAGTCTCCTTCCTTTCTTCCATGTCGGGAAGGCCTCTGCTTGTCTTCCTTGTGGAAGCCTTAGGATTCAGGCCATTGGTAAAGGAGCTGGAAGAGCCCTTTCTCCTGTGAAGGATGTTATCCAGGTGCTGGGGTCACCTTGGTTTTGGGTACCAGGATGAGAGCTAACATTTCAGATGTTCCTTCTGACCTCCCCGGCTCCTCCCTGCCATGAACTAGCATAGCCTGTGTTTGAAAAGACTTGTACATTCAGACATTGATTGGTGGTCAACTATGTACCAGGTGCTTTGCTAGGTGCTGGGGACACAGTGGTGAACAAAGCCATCCTAGGATTCCCAGGCCCTCGTGGAGCTCACAGCCACTGGTGGAGATAGACATTAATCAAATCATCATCAAATATAAAACTGTAATTGCGACAGGTCCTAAGACTACAGTCCGTAGGAGCGGCGTTTGACCAGTGGGCGAGACTTTGCTATAGAGGTGGTGCTGGAACTAAAACTAGGACAGACAGATGTAAGTTAGGCAAAGAGAGGGGGAAAGAACAGTCTAGGCAAAGGGACTAGCACATGCAAAAGCCCTGTGGTGTGAAGGATCATGGTGAACATGGGGGGCTGAGGTATAATCCACATAATTAGCGCCCAGAGGTCGAAGGGAAAGGTCAAGTTCAAGGGTAAGGTTACAAGAAGAAGGAAACAGACTCCCCCCTCCGCCCCCCGGCGACCAGAATGCCTATATTGTGGAGGTTTTCTTGATCTAAGAGCAAAGGAAAATGTTGGAGCTAATTATTAAGTCCTGTTCTGTCTTGTCCCATATTTGGGTTAAATGGTAACTTCCTTCCACTCACTGGCCTTAGCATCTGTGAAAACCTGCACACTTGATACTTGCCATTCATTCACTCAAAGATTTCTAAAAATGGATTTATTGATCTGTCTGGCATCGTGCTAAGCACTAGAAATAATAACGGTGAGCAGGACAGACAGGGCTCATGTGCTTACTCCCGTTCTAGTGGAGGAGACAAGGGAAGTCAATAAGTGATTCCAACCAAGTGTAATTAGCACTCCGGGAGGGAAATTAGAGGGTGCTATGGATTTGCATTTTCCCCTAGTGTGTTTCTCTCTGACCTTTCAAAATCTGCATATCTTCGGCCCTGCTTGCTGCTAGTTATGCCCTTGCTCTGCTCTCTCCCGCAGCCACTGCTTTTATTGTCCATTAAATTAATAGGCGGAAGATGCTAAATGAATCTTTCAAGATCTGCTCAGTGAACTGGCAGTGTTTTGCCAAACGTATCTCTCAGTGTCTAATCTTGGCTGACCCAGTTTCTCTGCCTCAGATGAGCAAAGACAGTGCTCAATCAGCTGTGTCATCTAGGTCATTAAAAAGCAGGCACCGTGGGGGTCCCTCTCTGCCTGTGCCTGCCTTCCTGAAGGTGCAGAGTTCCTGGCACAGCCTTCCGGTGGCATTGGGTGACCCATGTACAGGCAGCCTGGGGTCAGCCTTCTGAGTCCCAGGGGTGAAAGTAGGCACAGCATCAGGAGGTGGGTCCTGTGTTTTGCAGGTGACCAGTGCAGAGCATGCTGTCCACCTCCCACCCGCCACCCGGCCTCTGGTTATTGGAAACCAGTGGGTGGAAGTGACAGTTTCTAGGCCCTTCTTTCCCCTTCCCTGTACTGACAGCTCAAATCCAGAATAAAACAAAAACAAAACACAAAAACAGCGTTGTCATGATTAGAAAATCAAAACAATAACTGTGCACATGATCCTCCCAGATTAAATCTGTCAAGAGCATGGGTTCTGGAATTCCAGCTCTGCCTTCTAGCTGTGTGACGTTGAGCTAGACCCTCAGGCTCTCTGAACCTGTAAAATGAGGTCATAGAGTTTACTCATGAAATGGCCTGTAGATAAGTAGTTTAGCACAGTGCCTGAGGATGTTGTAACCATTCTCGTGATGGCACCCATTGTCATGTCATTTCCAAACTTCAGCTCCTGTTTCTGGAGTGGGGGATAGAAGGCATATTTGCCGATTTTCGGTTAAGTCTTCCCATCCAATCCCACATTGACTTGTAGTAACGCCTCCGAGAGCAAATGTAGGTCATGAGCTTCTTCCCCTGTCCCCCTGTCCCCATGCTGCATTCGACCTGGGACTGTCTCTAGCCTCTCCTGCAAGTAATGACAAATTCTTTTCTTTCTTCCTCCCCTCCCATCTTCTCGTCCTTGTGTAGGTGAAAATCGCATTGAGGTTCTGGCTGAAGTGTGGGACCACTTCTTCACTGAGACTCTCCCCACCCTGCAGGCAATATTTTATCCAGTTCAGGTCAGTCTCACTGAGGAACGACCTCCTGCCGGCCTCGGCACTCTGTCTCCTTCCTTGGCCTTTGGCCAGCTGGGGCTGCCTGGTGAAGAGGGGAGAGGCAGGACATTGGGCGCCTGAGTTGGCTAAGGACCTCGGCGCTCTTTGGAGGGCTCTCTGGTCTATATTTAGCATCTAACCTCAGGCCCAGAGAGAGTGCCTGCATAACTAGCAGTTTGTAGGCTCTCGTCGCCCTCTTGGTTTTGGGTATTCCTGTATATTCTTGGCGTGGTTTGTTTCCTCCCCTTTTCAGAAGTAGAGAAGATGGGGCAGGGAGACTTCTTTCTTTCCTCTTTCTTTTCTTCTCCCTCCCTTTCTTGGAAGTCCAATTTTAAAGCAAGATTCCTGTTGTCCCGAATTGTGGGAAGGGAATCTTGTCTCTTGTCTTCCGTGAGGGATGCCTGAAGACAAGTAGCCACGTGAGGGAGCGGAAACAACACTGGACTCCATCAGTCGTTGGGCTTGGGCAAACTCATTTCACTTCTCTGAAATGTTTCATCTGCAAAATGTGGGCTTTCGAGCAAAAAAGAGCAGCATCTCCTTAGTATTCTTATTCTGTGATCAGAGCTTATTCTAACACTTGAGTCGCTTTCCTTCTACCTTCCTGCAGAGGCTAATAGCAGGACTGGCCGCTGCCAGGTCAGAATGGACCCCCTGCAGGCAGGTTGACCGGTAGATCTTCCTCTCCAAGATTCACATCTCTGTCCTCCGTTTACCCCACCCCCGCTCCGCCCACTGGGGTGAAGGCGCATATCTAATGGGGCTTTGCTGAAGTGCAGGTGTGGGGCCCAGCAACAGCACAGCCCTTAGTGATGCTGTGTACCAGACACAAGGGCCCACAGGCTTTGTTTGCCCTGAATGGTGTTGCATGGGAACTTGGAATTCCTTTAAATCTATATCAATACCTAAAAATTGGGAGGTTACGCCTACTGAGTCCATTTCCCATTTCTGGGCTGCCCCTCACAATTCCAGCCGAAGCTCTGGCCTGCAACTCATTGCTCTCTCCGTCCCATCCTCAGCCCCACCCTCTACCCCCGTGAGAGGGTTTGCAGCATTTTTGGATTCAGTTCAGCTCCCATACCCACAAATGTCTCCCCTCCCTGTAATGGTCACTCCTTAGGTCAGCGCTAGGTCCTAAGAATACAGACATGGGAGGTAGAGTTGCCAGAGTTAGCAAATAAAATTATAGAATGCTGGCTTAAATTTGAATTTCAGATAAACAATGAGTAATGCAATATCTAGAACATACTTCTACTAAAAAATTATTCACATTCAACTGGACATTCTCTGTTTCATTTGGCAACCCTGCTGGAGGGGCTGTGTAGACCTGGGTCTCTGTCTTAGAACCCTGTGGGCATGGAACTCGAAGGTGGGGGTGTCCAGACGGGTTAGAATGGGGGAGTGGCATCTGAGTTGGCATGGCCCTGGTACAGTCATCGGATGGCCAAGAAGGGCCCTCACTGGCATATATCCAGGCAGGAAACCAGTTGTGCCGGTCTGAGGATGTTACCCATTCTGCCTCTCTTGAAGAATCGCAAGCTCCGGTGATAGTTGATATTGCCCCTGTCCACCCCCTTCCGCACACACAGTTTCCCAAGTGCTGCTGCTGATCCAGACACCCCACCTTGAGAAGCCCGGAGTTAGGGGTTCTCCCTACCGGTAGTAACACGCCAAGGTGTCTGTCAGTCCAGCTCAATCCACCTCAGAGCCCCCTGTCTGTATAGGTGTCTGTGTGAGCCCTACTTCCTCAGTGGACAGATGTGTTTTTGAGTACCTGCTGTGTTCAAGGGGGTGGAAGCTTGCCTTCATTTTCCTACCTTAGAAGGCGAAAGGGACCTGGGAGATGAAATGAGGGCATAGCTAGCTACGAGGTCGGAGGTCAGTGCGGACTATAGCCTCTTGGAAAAGGCGAAGTTTGCGGAGGGGGGCCCGCTGCCATTGGAGGCGGGTGGGGAAGGCAGTCAAGGAAGGGGGTGGTTGACCCGAGCCTGGAAGGCACCGGTGGCGGGTTGTATGCATCTCTGGGGACTGGGAGGGGGGAGGGAGAGGGGGATGAGGAGATGGCAAAACCACTCTTGCCTGCATTTCTGTGAAACCCTAAGGAGTTCTAAGAAATATAAAACTTCCTTAAGCCTTGGCAGACGTGAGGGATGAAAAGCGACATCCGGTTTGGCAGGTACCTTCATGATCTTTTTGGCTCCACCAAGAGCAGCCCATTTCTGGGGTGTGCCGTGTGTATACACGCAAAGAGAGCCTAGGAGAGAGGCCCTCCTTTCTCTTTCTGCTTTGGGAAACTGGGAGCCCTAAAATCAAATAGTTAAGGTTTGAGACCCAGCTCTACCCTGGGGATAGAACCGTCACTCTGGGCTCTAGGGGTTTCCTCTGTGAAGTAGGTTTAATAATAGCACCTGTCTCGAAGGGTGGGGATTAATCGTGTTAGTTCCATCGAAAATATTGAGAGTCATGCCTAGCACCTGGAGCTCAGTAAGTGTCAGCTCTTAGGATTATGAGTTCCTTTCATCCTCTGCCCACCCCGTGCATGGTCAGACTTGTCCCTCTGTTTTCCTTCTTGGCCTGGCGCGTGCTAGGTGCTCACACACTGAACAGAGTTGAGGAAGCAGCCTTGAAAGTGGGGGTGGGGGATGGGGGTCGGGGTGTTGATCTTTTCTCTCATTTCCCCCCATCTTCGTCTCTCTTCCTGAGCACCCCCCCCCCGACCACCGCCCTCATGACAGCATGGCCCTCATTGATGTGTCTTGTATTATCTTGGGTCACTTAGGCAGGTTGAGTCACACCTTATCTTAAACGAGGCTTTCATTGGGAAGGAATGGGGCCAAGTCTTTGACTCTTTGGCAGCCCCCCCACCCGCCCCAAGTTCTTTAGACACCTCATCCTGTCCCATCCTGGTGTTCTGTCCACACTGGTGGTCCTGGATTCCGTGTGGCTGGCAGCATATCCAGCGGGCTCTCACCTCCTGGCCCTGCCCCCTCTCTCCTCTCCAGGGCCAGGAGCTGACCATCCGCCAGATCTCCCTGCTGGGCTTCCGCGACCTGGTCCTGCTGAAGGTGAAGCTGGGTGATTTGCTGCTGCTGGCCCAGTCCCAGCCACCCTCATCCATTGTCCAGATGTTGCTCATCCTGCAGGTGGGTGAGGCCCCACTAGAGACGTGGCCACCAGGCTGGGGGAGGAAGAGACCCTGTGGGACGGGGGAGGGACCAAACGACCTGAGCACCTTAGCTCAGCTAGTATGCTTCAGTGTCGTCCTTCCTGTTCCTTAGCACGTTTGTTCATTTGCTATACCTCCACCGAGCCCCTGCGAGGCCCCTGGCGCTGTGTTGCATGCTGGGATCCCAGTGCGGGGGGCGGAGGGGGTGGCGAGAGAAGCACAGTCCTGTCCTTCAGGGAGCGGACACCCTCCCTCCTTGCCCGGGAGCCTCAAGTAGCACTTGACGGCTCACCCCCTGCAGGTGAGCTTGAGCCAGACCAGGAGCTCACTGGAAGGTTCCCGGGGCAGGAGGGCATCCTAAGAGACTACAACCAGAAGCGAAACCATGTCAGGCCCCAAAGCAGCCAGCCTGTCACCACTTGCTGGTCTTTCCTTGTCTCTCTCTGACGCCGCCTCTGCCGGCTGGCCCTGCCCGCTGTCTCTCGAACTGGGTGTCCCTGTCTTTTCCCCCTCCCTCTGCAGACTTGTGCTCCAGTACTGTGGTTTGCACCTGACCAAACGTGGCATCATGCATACAGCTTACGCATTTCCACCAAGTGGTGACCCAGACGGTCGCCTCTTCATCCCCATTCCAAATCAACAGTAGGAAGACAAGCTAACACTACCGGTTCCTGGCTATGTACCTGGTGCAGGCCGAGGACTTTATGTGGTGTTTTCTGAATCAGATCATCCAAATGACCACTTCGTGAGGTAGATAGCGTTGTTATTCCCATTTTCCAGGCGAAGAAATGGAAACCCAGGAAGTGTGTGCTTGTCCAAGGTCCCTCAGCAAGTGGTAGTAGGATTCAGAGCTGTGTGCACTCAGGGGAAAGAGTTGGATTGGTCTAGCCCCGGCTACATGACTCTCCTTTGCCAATCAGCCATGACCTTGGGTCAAGTACCATAAACATGGCCTCAGGGAGCCCAATCCTCGGCGCCATGCCATGGGTTGGAGGCCCACTCCTGTTCATTCTGCATGTCCTCCCTTCTGACCCCTTCCTAGCCCCAACCCCAAGTCTTCTGCCCCGAAACCCCCTTCCCCAGGCTCCTTTGTGTTTCCTTAAGCCAAACCCCCTCCCTTCCACCGCCCCCAGCCAGCTCTGTCTTCGTGGGATGGAGTTGACAAGGGGCCAAGTCAGCTTGTGTACAAGGGGGCCCCCACCTTGCCCAGCCATCCCCGGCTTGTGTGACGGGCCCTTCTCGTTCCCCTCCCCCACCATCTTTTCCTCCAATCCCCCCAAACTACAGCACATTGGGGAGTTTTTACTTTTTAAGTGAAGGTGATGTAACCTCTCTTCCGCTCTGAGAATTTGGTGGGACACTCTGTTGGGCTGAGCACAACTATGCCCCCCTGCAGCCCCTCAACACAGAGCAAGGCTTCAAGTCCTTTCCAGAGAGAAATTGGATTCCCTAGGAATCTGCTGGTCTTCTAGAGAACCTGGGTCACTTTTGGTCTCCTTTTTAAAGGTTTTTGACCGTTGTCATTTGTTAGTTGGTGTTTGCTCGGGCTTAGCCCTGAGGACGCCTGTCATGTTGGGCTTTTGAACTAACCCTTCATCTTGGGGCAAAATGTATGTCTAGCTCCACAGTGACTCTCTTTCTTCTGCTGTTCTGGATTTTTCTATATTCTGTCCCCTTCTCTTTTCTAGCCTCCTTAACAAGTGGCAGTAAGATGGGCTCAGAGCCAAAACAGCCTGCATTCCAGTCCTGGGTTACATGAGCCCTCTGGGTCTTAACTTTCTTGTCTGTAGAAGGGGGATGATGAGGGCCTCTAGCTCCTCGGGCTGTGGAGAGGCCTCCGTGCTTTGGCCCGTGTAAAGTGCTTATGCAAAACGCTTGCATGCCAAGTATGAAGCAGCCACTCTGAGGGTGGGCTGGGTGGTTGGGACCCGTCAGACCTCAACCCGGGAGCTGGTGTGAGGACAGTCCCGCCTGCCCCGAGTGGCTGGGGCCCGACGGGAGAAGCCGCCGCGGGGCACAGTTCTGATCACTGTGACCTGTGGCAAGTGACTGGGGCTTCGGGCCTCAGATTCCTTCATTCCAGCCACGAGGATGCTGTCTGCTGGTATCACGGCTCTGAATGTAGTAGGAGGGCCGGCGGGATTTGCCGGCTGAGTGCCAAGCTGGCCCTGGCCTCTTTTGACTGACCTTTGTCTCTCTTGGATGTTTATTTCCAGAGTGTTCATGAGCCCACAGGCCCCAGTGAAGGTTATTTGCAGCTGGAGGAACTGGTGAAGCAAGTGGTGTCTCCTTTCCTGGGCATCAGTGAGGACCGCGGCGTCTCGGGTCCCACGTCCGTGTCGGGTAAGGGGCGAGGCTCTCAGGCTGCGGGGGCCTCAGGGAGAATGCTGCCCGCGATGTTTTCCTGAGCCTGGATTGTGTAGCAAGCTCTTTGCTTCTCATGTGGGTCCCGGCTAATCCGTGCATGTTAATAACCTGTGCTTCCTGCTGGCCTGCGTCGGGGTAACCTCCCCGCTTGACGAGTCCTCCCCAGGGACTGATACCGCACCTCTGTGGTCTTGCTTGTCTGATCTGCATCTTTGACTAGTGGTTTTGATCTTTTCTGTGTGCCTGCAGTGTTCATTTTCCCGTATCTGATAGCCAGAAACTGGGCCAGATTGCAACGCCCCACACACACTTGAGTGGAAAAACCACCTGTGGTAGATTTTCCCTTGAAAGCAGCTTGAAATGGGAAGACAACTCATTTGGTGCACGGCCAGATGAAATGGAGCTGCTGTTCTCCCCCCATCCCCCCACCCACCCCTCCTTGTCCATAGGTACTGCCAGGGCCTGCATGCCAGGGAAAGGCGAGTGCTCCTGGACTGGGGACAAGTCCGGTTTGTGGCTCTAAAGCTAGCATTAGTGTCAGGCTGTGCACTTGGCACCCTGGAGAATCTAGAGGTGAATTGCATCTGTTCCTTCTCTCCGTGAAACCGCAGTCCAGATGGGGAAATAGCCATATAATAGGCTTATCATAAGAGACATTCCTTAGTTACCTTTTGAAATGAGAGCCCCCCAAATGCAGGAATTTCCCTATCTCCAGCAACCTTAATGGGACGCATATAGTATATGGTTCGCATATAGTAGGTACTCTAAAACATATCTGTAGATGGATGACAGCCAGTTGTACCCCAAGGCAGGGGTGACCAGCACCTATACAGAGGTGCAGAGGCGGACAGGGATTCCCTGAAATTGGAATCTTTTGCCCTGCTCTCCTTGCTTCAATGGAATTGTAGCTGAGTGTCAGAGAAAAGGGCAGAAGAACAGTGTCCTGTGAGGTTCTGCCCGTTCCTGGGCCTCACTTCCGCAGGAGAAGCAGGACGGGCTGGCAGGTTTCCTGGCCGCTTCATGTGTCTCTGGAGACACCAGCGTAGCCACGGCTGCCACACATCTGGGGTGCTGGGCCCAGCCCACCTGCCGAGTCCTCCCCCCGCCCCCCCGCCCTTCCTTCCTCCCTTGCTCACTCACTCACACCACCCAGGAGCTGGTACAAGCCAGAGTGAGTAACAATGCCTCCTAAAGGAAAACCGTCAGCCCTGAGTGGGGTGCCGTGTTGCTCTGCCCTCCCTGGAGCCCGCCTTCTGGCTTCGGCCCAGCCCTTGGGCTCACCGGCTCCCCGAGTTTGGGCGGGACGATCCAGGCAGATGTCAGGACACAAGCAGGTGAGCTGGGCTGTGGCAGGGACCTGGCCATCAGCTGGGCCTAGAGCCGGGAGTAAGGATAGATTTGGAAGTTTGTTCAGGGAGTACTTACTCTAAGAGGGGATGCCTTTGGCTTTCCAGTTAAGCTCAGAATAATGCATACTTTTGGCAAATTTTATAAAGTAAAGGCCTGAGGTTTTCTTATACCAAGGACAAGCCTCGCCTCCAGGCTGTTGTCTCAGGAGGGGCAGAGGGGGAAGAAAATCACTCTTTTTGATAGTTTTATTATTATTATTATTATTATTTTAGCAAATGTGTCCTGAGGCCCTCCCCCTTGTGAGGTGAGGTGCTGCAGGTATACCCATGACTAAAATGGACCCATCTCTGCCCTGTGGTGCACACGGGCTGGTGAGGAAGTCACAGACGAGATCACGATGACTCATTAGTGTGCAAGGACTCTGATCAGGGGAAGCGCATCAGCCATGGGGCCCACGGCAGGGGTCCCTTCACCCGGACTGGGAAATCAGGGGAGGCTCCCCGAAGGAAGTGATACCTGAGATGCGTCCTGTAGGATGAATTTGAATTAGTCTGCCTTCCCTGTTTGCTCAGCTATCCCAAGTAAAGGGAAGGATCTTTGGGAGGGCTCTGGGGTAGGAGGAGGGGAACGGGAGGTTGGAGCCTTTGAGGAACTGAAAGACTTTCAGAGTTACAAAGTGGTTGGTGGCAAGGGAAGGCACAGGCCACAGACTACATCTTGGGCAGGCACTCTGCTGGGCGAGCTGGATACCCTACCACAGAGTGGGCACCACTGTACCCATTTTACAGGTGAGGCAAATGAGGATTAGGGTCACTCAGCTATTGGAGCTGGGATTTCAAAGCCCCATGTTGGTTGCACTTTACCCGCTGTCCTACATGCTCCACCCTCACCCCAGCCTCCCCCTGTCAGTTTCCAGAAGGTGATTGTGATTTTACTGAGGGGCAGCTGAGGAGGTGTCCTTCCCCGTCATTCCTTAGCCCAACAGGGTTCCGGGGCCAGACATTTCACCCCAAACCTCTGCATACTAAACAGCTAAAATGGTCACAATGGAGCCCTTCCCTGTTGAAGACACCCCTTTGCCAGATAAAGTGAGGACTCTCTGGGCATTAGTCTTCCCCTCAGTAGAATGGAGTCCATAACGTCTGTCCTGCCTGGAGGAGAGGAGTGTGGAGACCACCAACCGAAGTGTAAAGTCACAGGAGGGCTTTGCCATGGTCCGCTCAGGGCCCATCCAGGGCTGGGAGTGGCCAAGGGCAGTGGGAGGGCTCGTCTCAGAGGCCTGCACTTATGCCTGTCATGTTGCAGGTGCTGCCCAGACGCTTGTCTTCCTTGTACGGCCTGCTGAGGGGAGGGTGCTGTGCTGACCTCAGTCTCAGACTCAGGAAGAAACCTCCTGGGGGAGGTAACCAGAGCCAGAGGAGTGGTTTCTCCAGGGCCGGGGGGAGCCGCACCTGCCCAGGCGTGTCTTGACCCCATGGGGATTCTTGGGCAGTCTCTCTTCCTCTGAGCCAGGCCGATGGGCTTGAGAAGTGAGCCTCACCCGCTGATATGCAAGACTTGGGAGAGAGAGAGAGGAGTCTGAGGCTCGTGTTGGAGGACGGTGTATGATATATGGCTCTCTTCCAAAGCAGTCACTTTCCTAGGGCAGTGGGGATATGGAGGTGAGGAGGAAGAGTTAAAACTTAAAAAAAAAGATTGGTCAGAGGCTGGACCTATATCCTACCTTTCTAGTTCCCAAAGCTTCCAGACTGCTGCCCTGGCTGCTTCCAGGGCCCTTGGAGCAAACATGCAGACCACTCAGCATGCTGTGTTCTCCCACACAAAAGCGCTGGCCTCCCACAGATCTTCCTCCATTGTGTTTCCAGGGGGAGGGCCCTTTTCCTCAAGATACTGTAACTTCTCCTCGTGACAAGTAGGCTTTCATGGGCTTTCAGGTGCCCAGGACTGGAGAGAGACGCCCACAATGGGCTTGGTGTGCAGAGGTCACAATACCCACATTATGGCGGCCACTCCTGCGAGCCTGGGAGATCAAAGGCCTGGGAACCGAGTCCCCCACAAAGGGGCTGAGGACTGCCTCATCCAGGCTCTGCTTCTCTGGGGGTTTGAAAGGAGCTGCCATTGCTGGCTCGGGTGCTGGGGGATGAATGCCAGAGCTCAGTGGGGCGCCTGGGGAGTGAGGCAGGAATAAAGGCCCCCCTGGCCCCACCCCGTGTGAAAGGCAGAAGGAGGCGGTCTGGAGGTGGGTGCTGGCCGAGGTGGCAGGACCCGGCGCCTCTCCCAGCTCAAAGGGCACCACTGTAAGGAAAGGACCCATTTCAGCCCCCAGGGGGTGCCCACATCTTAATCTCTTTAAGGGAGAGTTCCTTCTCTGAGTGGCAGGGCCTGGCTTTCCCTGGTACAAATAAGAAGGAGGCGGGGAAGATGGCGGGCAGCACCAGTGTGGGTAGCTGTCTCAGCTCCCGGCCCAGTATGTGGCCTGACCCCACTGGGGACGCAGCTGACGTGCTTGTCTGAGGTTGACTCTGGAGTCTGGTGGGAGCTTATCGAGGAAACACTGTCTGCCCAGGGGACTCAACACAGCCCAGCGGCCCCTGTGGTCTCCGTTCTGTCCACACCCAGTCCTGGGAACCAGAACATTCCACCCAGAAGGCAGAAGAATCCTAGGCCGCTCCTGTGAGTCATGAGTAGGGAAGAGCCATCAGAAGAGAGGCGGGGCCGGCCGCAGAAGGAACAGGGCCTTGAAACCACAAGGGCCTGGCTTCAGCTGTGTGGCCTGGAGTAAGTTCCTTGATGTCTCTGAACTGCAGAGGGCTGAGCACAGAGAAGGAAGAAGGGGCCCTGTCTGAGCGCAGAACCCAGGCAGAGTTGCTCCCTGCTGTGTTACGGGCCCCAGCTAGAGGGTGGCCTGGCCTCCTTGGAATCACTCCAGATGAAAAATTGTGCCTCTCCCTGGGAGCCCAGACCACATCCTGGCCCTTGCCGTGCTGGGTGGTCCTGCTTGATGATTTGTCAGTCTCCCCCATAGACTGTCAGCTCGTTGGGGGCAAGGGAACACGTGGGGCCCCTCGTACCCCAGGCCCTAGCACAGTTCTCGGCTCTGAGGGAGCGAGTGAGTGAATGTCTGGGTTCCATCCGTCAGTCGCTCTGGGGCAGGCCCCTCCGAAATGACTGCTCTTTAGGACTTCTCCTCCTGGCTCCCCAGCGAGTTCCTGCCTTTACCTCTGCCCTGTCATTTGTTGACCTTGTCTTTTTTTAATTTCGTTATAGTTACCATACAGCGTTGTATTAGTTTCAGGTGTACAATAGAGTGATTCGGTAACTCCGTACTTGTTGACCTTGTTCTAACAGATCCTTGCGTGCAGCCTTCCCAGGGGGCACAAGCGGGGGCTCCACCGTCAGCCCTCGGCTTGAATCCTGCTTCCATCACTAACTGGCTACAAAGTTAGTTAGCATCTTGACTTCAGGTTCCTTTTCTGCAAAATGGTCAGAAGACGAGCATGGTGGTGAAGCCCCTCCTTTTTTGATACAGTACCTCGCCCACAGTAGATGCTCAGCTAGTGATTGCTCCCAAGACCCTACCCCCCCACCCCATACAGGCACACATGTACACGCATGTGCGCTGGGCTCGGGCCCCTGTGGCGGGTCCCGTGGCAGGTTCACATTTCTCCCTCTCAGCAGTGACCGCAGTGTTTTGTAGGTCGCAGCTCAGAGTGTTTGTTGAAGGAGGGGGCAGGTGTCATGGGACCCCTCCCAACTGTGTTTCCAGCTCTCAGCAGCACCTGAAGTGGTCTCTCTTGTTTTTGCTCCCTGTTAACCGCCCCCGACAAGGACTTTGGGCCTCTGGGCTAACACAGCGTGAGAGAGACGGATAACGGCAGGCACCCATCTGAAACACGTTTCCTGGCTCATTCTGCCAGGCTGGGGCCCCTGGAAATCATCAAACAGATCGTCATTTCTTCCAGAGATGCTGCGTGGGTCCACCGTCTGCCCTCCAGGCCCTCAGCTTACCCTGTGTCCTGGGCCTAGCCTTAGCTCCAGCTCGCTCCTCTTCCTGGGTCTGCGTGTGAGAAAGGCTCACCGAACCGTCTAGTCTAGTCTCCAGTCCAGCTGGTTGAGGGTTTGGGCCACAACAGATTTTGCAAGTGCCAGTCATAGGTCCTTGCTTCTAACGGCTAGCAGGAGACAAACGAATTGTTTTCAAGGGTATTATTTTTAAGGATGGTTCTTTAATGGGACCCCGGCTTTTTTGAACCCTTCTGGTGTCTCTGTCTTATAGTTACCGATTTTTGTGATCATAAAAGTAATACATGGTTATTGTAACACTGTGGGAACATTACAGAAACGTTGAGCGTATGAGTCCCCATGCTCCCGAGAGAACCTCGGCCAATGCTTGGCATGGATTCTTCCTTCTCAGTTGCTCCTTGCCATTTTGTCTCCTATTTGTTCTTCCCCAAAGAGAAGAGCCACTGACCCAGCCCTCCTGGCCAATACCAGCCTCTTGTTCGGCACCTCCTGGGGGATAGGGTTTGCTTTCCCTTTAGAAACTAGGTCTTCCCCTGGGATCCTGTCCGTGTGCAAGAACACCACCCCTGTCATGCTTCTCCCCTGCTGCCCACTGCCTCCCCCTGCTGAGAAAGGGATGGGTTTCTTTTGGGATCTTCAGGGTCTCAGGGACGTGGGAGCCATGGAAAGCTGGGCCAGACGAGATGGGGTAGGCGGCTGGCCAGCTGGGAGAGGTATGCACTGGTAGAAAGAGGGACGTGTAACAGAACCCACTTGGTCCTCGGCCCTCCATTCTCGCTGGGGTCCTCCAGCCAGCTTATGATACAGATGCAGTGCTGATGTGGGGGAAGAGGTGGGGTGCCTCTTAAGGAGCAGGGGGAGGTAACTGCCCTGAGACCGAGGGGATGTAGGCTTGTCATGGCCCTGGCTTTCCTTACTTCTGGCCCCTCAGGCTCCAACCCTGCGTAGCTCCTGCCAGGTGCATCTTCCTGGAGCACAACCCCCAACCTGCCCCGTCCCCCCCTGGCTTGTCTGATCACAGAAGGTTCCATCTGGCTTTCAAGGGCCCTCCTGTGATCAAGGGCCCTCCTGCCTGTTTGTGCACGTCTCCACTGTTTCATGTCTTCCATGTTCCAGCCAGGCCGTGGCCGGATGGCACACCTGGCTCAGCACCGGAGATGCTGTGTGTGTCCAGCATCTGGAATGATGCTGTCCCTCCCCCCAGCTCCAATGTATGTCCTCCCTGACACATGGATCCGCTTTTTCCTGCCTCAAAACCCCTTGTCCTTCCCTGGAGATACTCAGCCTATTCTAGTTCTATGTGCTTCATGTGGGGGTGTCTAGGAAGAGCAGGGTCTGCAGTGAGACCTCACTTCACTCCCAGCTGTACTGCAGCATAGCTGTGTGCACGTAGGTCAATTATCACCACTCTGATACTCCGTTTTCTCATCTGTAAAGTGGGGGCTAATAGCATATCATGACTTAGGTCAGTTTTTAGGAGGAGTCAAAAGATGATTGCATGTCAAGGCTTAGCGTAGTTTCTGGAATGTGCAGAATGCTCAGGCAGCCGCGGTTTTCCAATAATCTGTGGCCAGGCCTCGTCTTTGGGGTCTGCCTCTACGGAACCATCTGTGGAGCCTCGCCCATCCCTTGATGGTGCCAGAGGCTGCTGGAATCGCGTATGACTTGAACAGAATGCAGGTCACAGTCCCTTGATCTGGTGGGAGGGGCACTGTGGTCCCGGTCAGGATGATTTGGAGGATGTCCCTCGGCCCTCGCTTTGACAGCTGGGGTCCCCTAAGCTGGACTTAGGCTTGAGGGGCTAAGTCATCTGCTGTCACCGGGGAGGCCCCTACTTCCTGCTGAACAGAGCCAGAGTGTGTCTTCTAGAAGCTGGTCCAGCCAGTGTCCAGGCCTTTAGAGGAGACTGGTTGAAAGGAAAGGTAGGGCGAATGCAGTGAAGCTCAGGCGGCAGCTGGGAAAGAGGGGAGACGCCCTAGACCCTGACGCGCCCTGGGAAGCCCTCTGGGGCCCCCCGCTCTGTCCCCGTGTGTCCACGCTTCAGGTTCCCTGCCTTTCAGCACGTCTGTACCTCAAGCTGTTCCTGGGCATGGAGCCACCACGTCCCTGTTGCCCCAAACACAGGAGCAGGTTTTGGCCCCCCCGCCCAGTGACAGTCTTTGCTGGTCTTTCTCTTGCAGCCAGACGCCACTCCAGGGTCCGGCCCAAGGTCGCGGTCCTGAGCTATGCCTGCCCGACCCCCGCCCTCAGCCGGCCCTTGAATGAGACGGCTCTGACCCCTCTGGCGGAGCAGGAGGGGGAAGCCTACCTGGAGAAGTGCGGCGGCGTCCGGCGGCACACGGTGGCCAATGCCCACTCGGACATCCAGCTGCTGGCGATGGCCACCATGATGCACTCAGGCTTGGGTGAGGAGCCTGGCGGGGAGGACAAGGGCCTGCTCCTGCCGCCCAGCTTCTCGCCACCGCACCGGCAGTGCTCCAGTGAGCCCAACATCACCGACAGCCCCGATGCCCTGCAGCAGGGGGCCGCGGGCAGCCAGGGGGACTCCGAGCTGAACTGTGCTTCCCTTGGCTGAATGCCCACCCCCGGGACCTCCCAGCCCCGGCCTGACCACCGGCGTGAGCACGGCTCCATCCCCCGGGCAGGGGCAGGCGGGGCAGAGCTCCCCAAGGGGCTCCTCCTGGAGGCCTAGTCCAAGTGCCCCAGTTGTGGACCTCTCCGTTTTCGTGACTGTGACCCCCCTCTTGGCAGCCACGCAGACCCGACTGCCTGATGCTCACTTTCTGCTTGCCTGACTCTGGATCCTCCTCTGGGGGCTTTGCCCCCAGATCAGTGCTGTCCAACTCTCCCTACGATATCGCCCAGGGCCGCTGGCTTGAGGATAGCGGGAGGTCGGCTGAGCCACACATGGAGCCCGCAAGGATGCGTTGGCCTCCGGAGATCCCCTGTAGGTTCTTGTGATGCGGGGCTGCCAGGAGAAAAGAGGTGGTAGAGCGGTACCTCTCCTCCCCTGTTCTGGGTGGAGTGAAAGCAGGCAGCGACCCCTGCCAAGCAGGACACTGGGAGCGTGCCTTCCTTATTTTACTTTCAGAATTCCTGGAAAAGAGTTGTCCCTCTGGTGGGTGAGGGTCATTCTCATGGGTATCCAGATCCTACATGCCGCCTTTAACTTTTGGCCCCGGGGGACCACCCGACCCGGCTGGAGAAACGTCCTCTTTGATGAAGCCTCAGTGCTCCCCTCTCTGGCCTCCTTCCAAGCTCAAGGAACTAACCTCCCTGGTGGAGTAGCTGGTGCCTTTGTTCTGCTCTCATTTCAGAAACTGACCATCTTCCTGTTGTGGGTGCGGGGCCAGTGGATGCCAACCAAGTAGTCTGTTCCTGGATTTGACTTGAATTTTTTTAATGTGCATCGTTTCAAAAAAAAAAATTGCAAATATTTGCACGTAGGATCTTGCATTGCTCATTTCCAAGGGCGTGTGTCTTCAAACTAGAAAATAAACAGCCCCCCCCCCCTTAGGAAAAGAGCCTGGAAGTGGTTCAGGGTGCAGGTGATCCGTGGTGGACAGGGCTCATCAGCCGCAGAGCGCTGGAAGCAGCTGGACTTGAATCCAGAATGAGCGTCACGGTATCACTGAGGTAGGGAGGCTCCGTTTGCCTCAAGAGCAGAGGGTCGTAGCAAATGCAATGTCTCAGTGCTTTACAGTAGGGGAAAATGGGGGGAGATGTGGGCAGGACCTTTTGGAGAGAGGTTCATTCCCTGTGATTAAAGAAGTGCCTGGAGTTTCTAACATTTGAGCTCTCAAAATGCTGTTTGGGGCAGCAGGCTTTGGTACTGTGCTGAATCCTTAACACTGCTCCCTCTGGGTCTGGGCTTTTTATCCACCTAGAAGCCCTCTTCTCTTTGTATTTGCCTGTTGGCCCCACCAATAACAGCTCCAGAAGAAAGAGAAGGCTTTCCTGAGTCCTTCTGGTACCTTCTAGATGTCCTGTTAGTCTTTGGAAACTGTTAACGAGACATGAGCCATCTTGGCTTCCAATCTGGCGGGAGGTGGCTGGGCGAGGGCGAGAACAGTGTGAGCCGCCAGCAGGGAAGGCAGCCTTCTAAGCATATCTAAGCCTTGACGGCACATCCCTTCTGGGTGAAAACCTGGAATATGACCAGAGTCATGCTTTGGATGGCTTGTACTTTTGGGAAGTTAGTTTAAAACGCTGTCTCATTTTTATTCTTCTAAGAATGTGGAGGAGAAATGTCCAAAGGAGACCTTCTGGGAATTTCAAACAAAAAAAATCTCTGTGTATGTGTTGGATGAAGTCCACAAATTGACTAACGTGCATTAGCGATAGAACATCAGTAAGTAACAACATGATGATTTATTTGACTGATGGTGTCTATCCTTCCTGGTACACTTAGCACTCGGGACTAGTATTTATCAATCCAGGCGAAGTCATTAATCATGCTTGGGTATGCTTTTTTAGTTTCCAACATTAATGATATATACGCTTGTAAATGCCTTGTCCTTATACTAAACGCCCCTGATGAGGCCAGCAACCGTTGGTTAAACATGTGAGCTCTTAGGCTGAGAACGGGAGTGTCAGTAGAGACCCAGTGTACTTAATTGCTGATGACTGTTAGCCAGTTTACAACTTCACTTTTGATGTCCATGCCTGAACCTGCGCTGTGGATATTTCAGACTGTACAGAGAAAATTTTGTTGATGTTTATGGGCATTTTAGCCTTCAGACCTGTCGTGAGAGCGACGGCGGTGGTGCTGGCAAGCACTTTTTCTCCCCTTACGAGACGAAGCTAGGATCTTCTGGTTGCCTTTTAATGACAGGAAGCTATCACGACTCCAAGCTCTGGGTGTGCTCACGAACCAAAAACCTTTCATGTTGTCTGTTTCCAAAATAGATTCAATAAACATCATTTTGTACGCATCATCCCGTCCCCATGCTGTGTGGCTTGACTGGATCTGCAAGCGCTGCAGTCCCCGGGCTCTTTATGCATCCTGTCCTCATGCTCTCTGCCAGCCTTTCCTGCCTCCACGTCCCTCTTCCTGTTGCCTCCACTCCAGGATTCGGCAGCAGCCTTACCTCGGCCGGTGTCCCCCGGGTTTTGTTTGCCATCCTCAGCTGGACTGGCAGGTCATTTCCTGGACAAGCAGCCTATCTGCAGAGCTTGAAAAACACCGAACAAAGTCTGGGAAGGCCAGTTCTCTTCTAAAGCCAGCTTGGGCTCTTCCCGAGCGTTTGACACTTACCGTGACTCCTCATGGACTCTCTCTTCATATACTCCCTTCTGATTCGGTTTGGCAGACGGAAACTTTAATCTATAATCTGCTACTCTCTGCATAGGTTTTCCTAGGACCGCTGGAGCAGAGTTGACCTGAGATTGAAGGCTTATTAGTAAGAGCATTCAATGCGGTGTGACCCAAGCTGATTGAGGATCCTGGGGGATGGAAAGCAGGGCATGTCCCTTCGTGTTGAGCCTTCAGAGGCCGTAAGGCGGGAGAGAGCTGTGCTTCGGCGGATTTCACCTCATTGATGCACTGTCACGTCCACTCCTGCATCTGCTCAGCTACCCACCGAGTATGTGTGGAGCTGCCATTGTGTTGCAGGCCCTTCTCTTGGTGCTGGGGATGCAGCAACGGACAGCCAGGCAAGGGGCCTGCCTGCTCTCCTAGAGACCATCCAGCGGGGGAAGGCTGGTGATCAGGTCAACAGGTGCATTTCAAATAACGACCAACACTGGGGGACATCAAATGACAAAATGCAGTGGCTGGGGGAGAGGAGAGGGTGGCCCTGGGTCGGGTGGCTAGAGAAGTTCTCTCTGCAGTTGACTCGAGCCAGCCTTACGATCGGCTTCTGTTGCCTGTCCCTGCCATCACAAGTGACCACAGATGGTAATGGCATTGAGTGGTTTAAAACCACACACATTCATTATCACAGTTCTGTAGGCTGCAGTCTGACGTGGGTCTCATGGGGCTAAGGTGTCGGCAGGACTGTGCCCCTGGCCGGAGGCTTGGGGAGAGTGCATTCCCTCCCCTTTGCCAGCTTCTGGAGGTCACCTGTATGCTGGGCTTCTGGGCCACCTCCTCCAGCGTCAAAGCCAGCAACGGTGGGGGGAGCCCCTCTCAAATCAAGTGCATCGCAGCAGCCATACATTCTGTCTCTCCGCCCCCCCCGCCCCATGTTTAAGGCCCTGTGATTCCATCAGGCCCACCCAGACAACAGAGCATGATCTCCATCTGGACTGCCAGCATCTCTCCCAGGAGGAGAAAAGCCACCATAGGGAGTGCTCAGGGCCCTGTGGAGATGAGACTGCAGTGGGCAGGTGGGTGCTGGTCTCAGTGTCCAGGGGCCTTCAAGCCAGACCTCCACCCACCCTGGCCCGGACTCCCACACTCACTAGGCTTCTGGAGTCTCTTGCTCAGATATTTCTCCGATTTCTAATCTCCTATGCTTGTCAGGCCCTCATCCTCCCATCTGGACTTCTGCCACTCGGTACTCCCTGTGTTTGCCTCCAGATTCCATCTCTCCCCATGGACGGCCCCAGCGGATCTTTCTAAAACATAGTTAAAACTTCTCCCAGGCTTCCAAAAACATCCACACACCTGAATGTGACTTCAAAGTCCTTTCCAAGCTGGCCCCCAGCTGCCTTTCTGGCCTCTGCTGCTCTGTGACTCCCTGTGAACAGGTGTCAGGCTCACTGGATGGTTCGGTGTCCTGAAGCTGCCCCCTCTCCCTGCGGGCCCTGCCCACTGCTTCTCCAGGTAGGAGACGTTTCTGCCTCCACACGTGTGCAGGTGCTATCCCAGGAAGGCAACAGTATGTGGGATTTGTGTTTTCCTGCCTAGGGCTTAGCAATGCAGAGAAAGTTCTCTAAGTCAGGTGCACTGGATGAATTAATGGGATGGCGGTAATTCTGACTGCCACTCCTTCCCCCCCACCTATTTGTATAAAAGACCTTCACCCCCTTTCCTTTCTCCGCAGGCAGAGACCTTCCCCATGCTGCTCTCTAACCGTGTTCCAGCTGAGGCTACGTGGCCCAGTGACCTGGGAACACGGATGGGGGCCAGGTCTCAGCCGTTCCCTGCAGCCCCCCCTCCTGCTCCAGCCCGAGGCTACCAGTCCCTGTGCAGTGCTAACCTGTGCACAGGGCTGGTGCTTTGCTCCCGAGCCGGCTGCTTCCTTCCTGGCCTGATTCCTTCAGGGCCCGAAACATGTGCCTGTTGTTGGCACGAAGCCAGATCTTTGCAGAAGTGCTCCTGCCAAGAAGTAAGCGGGAGTATTCCTGGCCAGTGTGCTCAGGCAAGAACCTCCTGGTCCTAACCCAGGAAAGATCCAGCAAAAGGGAGCTTCACACTCTGCCCTGGTGTGCCAAGCACTACACGGACCCTCAACAACTGTGCAAGGCAGGTATCACCCCCATTTTGCAGATGGGGAAACTGAGGCTTGGGTTCTTTTACCCCATGTCCAGTGACCATCCTTCCTCTCTTCCATGAGGTGTCCTGGCTTGGTAGAGGATGAGGAAGCAGAACAACTAAGTCAGGGGCATATCCTCCTCAGCTTGCTACATGGTGAGATGGTTTCAGGGTTTCCAGAGTGGAGAAGCAAAGCTGCCTCTCTTGCTCTTCTCCGGCCACTTCTAAAAAAACCTCATGAGGGGAGGGAGTGAGGGTGGGGAGAGTCTGCTGTCCTGAACGGCTGATTTCCTATGCAGAAAAGATTTCAGTGGGTCTTTTTCTTGAAAAATTAGTAAGTTTAAATTTGGATTTAAAAATAGTATTTTAATAAGTTTAATA